AACACGTGAGTTCGGGCGCCTGAAATGGGTACGGACAAAGTGGGCACGATGCCCAACAACATGTGATGTTCCAAACCGACAGCGGCCGCTGTTGGGCAGGTGGCCTTCTGCTTCAAATACACAACACCTCCGCGGCGACGCCGACAACGATTCCTGGTTCACCATGGACAAGATTTGATGTCGGTCTTCGTGCCCATTCATCCGTACCCGTTTCGATCGTACCGAGCGAGGTTGCTGAGTTTCAGCAGGGGCCGACCGTCCCGGCATTTCTCCGATTGGCCTACCACGAAATACTCGCTTCACCAAATGCTCCTACGAACACAAAACAACGATCTCAGAACACAGAAACCATGTTTTAAAACAAGACGGTCTCAGCCAGGTATGCCCTGAGAAAACGCCGTGCATAATACAAAACAGTTCTCAATACACGCTCTGGTGGGCCTCCTGGCAAAGCGGGGGGCGCTTCGCCACTGCTTCCAATACGTGCGACGTTTCGTTGTTTTCAATACGCGGTCCCCAGAAGTTCGAACCCTTTTCTGGGGAGCTGTGTTTTATCCCGAGTTGTTTTGTATGGGCCTGGGGCCCAGTCAGGGCCCCCAGCGGCTAAAGACTCTGAACAGCTCCCCGTCCTGATTCTGTCGCGACGCGAGCAGGTCTGGGAAGCGGGGCGCTTCGCAACTGCTCAAGGAGCTGCTGCTCCCCCAGGGGCCGAAGACAGCGAAGCACCTCCCGTCGTGCTTCTCTTGTTTTGTCGCAGGCCGAGGGGGGGCTGGGGCCACCTCCCCCACCGTGCCCGACCACCATGCTCCTCCAGCGACCCACGATGGTGCACAGTGGGCACCCATGCCAAGAGACACCGTCTCACCCAGCGCGTTCCACTACTCGCAAAGTGCCCAGTCGCAAACGCGCGAGAAACATACGTCTGCTTCGATGCAGTCTCCCGTAGATCTCCCCGGGCGGATCCAGGCCATTTGCGAGCAGTCCCTTTGCAAGTAGGGACGAGGAGGAGGAGGAGGAGGAGGAGGAGGAGGAGGAGGAGGAGGAGGAGGAGCTGGAGGAGCTGGAGGAGGAAGAGGGCGGAGGAGGAGGAGGAGGAGGAGGAGAGGGAGGAGGAGGAGGCGGAGGAGGAGGATGGAGCGGGAGGAGGAGGAGGAGGAGGAGGAGGAGGAGGAGGAGAGGGAGAGGAGGAGGAGGAGGAGGAGGAGGGATGGAGGAGGTGAGTGGAGGCGGAGGCGGGAGGAGGGCGGCGGTGGAGGAGGGAGGAGGAGGAGAAGAGGGAGGAGGAGGAGGAGGGGAGTCGGACCGCGCTCGTCTGTGCCCCTTGCTCAGGGGTTGCCTGTCTTCGGGGGTTGCGATGTCACCGCGCGATCTTTTGCCGTGGGCAGGGCGGCGCTCCGACACCAGACACTTGGCATCGCTCGGACGTGTGCATTTTCCCTTCGGCGAGGACCATCGAGGAGCATCCTTGATTATTTGGCGAAAAACCCCGCACGAAACCGAAAAAAGCAAGGGGAATGGACGTCCTAGCGATGGCCAGGACATCGCCGGCCGCCCCAGGGTCTCGGGGCGAGGTCCCTCGGGGGACGGTCTCCTGCGGACCGGCCTCCCCTGCGCACGCAGAGCCTCCCGGCGCCTCCCTCGTCCAGGGTCGCGTCGGGCCTGTCCTTCCACAGGGGGAATGCTCAAACATATATATATATATATATATATATATATATATGTATTTGTTTTAATCGTGCGGGGAGGGTTTGTGGATAATTGTTTGACCATTTGGGGGTATTCTTGGGGTATCTGGCATTTTTCGTCCAAGATCCGCCTGTAGGGGGACACGCCCGACGTAAGTCCAGGGCGGGCGGGCCTGCCGGGCCGGGCCCCGGGATGGCCCCGCGTGGGCGCGGTGGCGGTGGAGAGCGACCCGACGTGAGGGTGACCTGTCGCCAGAGTGGCCCTCTGGTGCGGGCGCAACCCCAGACAGGGCGGGAGGTTTTGCTGTGATGTTCAGCGTCCAGGTGCCCTCTCGGGGCCTCTGAACCGTCTGAAGATGACCCAGGAGGAAGCAGCGGCCCCAGGGAAGGGGCCGGCGTCACCCCAATATACTAATACTATGTGTGCGTCGCCCCCTCTGGGGCGACGCGCGCACCGAGAAATCTTGTGGTATATGTGTCGTGGCGGGCGCTTTCTGGCCACACCGCTCGGGAAACGATATACTACAAGATGGGTATATCATATGTTCGGGTCGGACGCGCGCATCCAAGGAGGACATGGAATTAGTACGTCTCTGTGCGTCCCATGACCTGCCGCCAGAGTGACCTTTGGTGCGGGCCCAATGAAAGACTGACAAAAACCGAAGACTGAAAAAGGAAAAAACATCAGACTGAAAACGCTGTGTTTTCAGTCTTCTGCTTAATCGCGCGAAGCGATAGCAGCGGCTTGCGCGCCGTGGTTTGGCCACCCCGCGTCCCCCGTCAAGCTGCGCACCAAAGGTCAGTCTTTCCTAGGGTCACTCCTGCGGGTAGCCAGAGTAACGTCCCCTGCGCGTCCACCCATCCTCCAGCCTCGCGTTCTTGTTCGCAACGTGAACCCCTGAAGTCTGGACCCCCTCCCCAGGACGGGCTCCTCGTCCCGCGCCGTCCCAGAACCCGTTGAGGACTCTGAGATGCCGAAATTCTGGAGCCACGTACGTCATGATGTTTTTTGTTGCCCGCAGCGCAAGGAGGTCTGGATTCGGTGCTTCGTGTCGTGCCGTTGCGGCAGCGACCCCGCCGCGGGCTTTCAAGGTCGAACGCCGCCAGTGACCCAGCATTTTCCCCCTGAGCGATCTGACAATCGACAGACCGCCGACCATTTCAGAGGAAACATGGACTTCACGCAAGCTGGGAGCCTCTTGCACGCTGTTTCGGCGCAGCGTGGTGTAAAAAGACGGCGGAGGGGGTTGTGGGCGGGGGGGCTGGGGGAGGGCAGGGGTGGTGGTGGGGGCGGCATGCCATGCAGGTGAAGTTGCCCGGGTCGAGAGGCAACCGCACTCTGCGGGCGTGCATTCCCGAGCGGAGTTCGCGAGTGGGCAGGTCGTCGCAGCCGTCCAGGCTCGCTGCGGCGCCAGCAGACGCCCGCCCCACGAAGGGGAGGAGGAGGAGGGGGAGGAGGAGGAGGAGGAGGAGGAGGAGGAGGAGGAGGAGGAGGAGGAGGAGGAGAAGGAGGAGAAGCGCGACAGGTCTCCGCGCGGCAGCGGGCGCCGCCGCCATGCCCTCCGGGCCGGGGGCGGCCGCCGAGGCGCCGGACTGGCGGCCGGCCGGGGACGAGGCCCTCGCGCGCGCGGTGCCGACGCCGCTCGCGCACGTCGCCGACGCCGCGCGCACGCACCGCTCGCGCACGTTGCCGACGCCGCGCGCGCACGCCCGAGACGCAGAGGAAAAGGTACCCCATACCACTACCCCTTCGCCCGTTTTCCCTCTTTTGGGGGGCCCCCTGGGAGGCCCTCGTCGCCGCCGCTGGACTCGCCTCGAGCTCCTGGTCAGAACGCACCCCGGGAGAGGTCCCGGGGGGAGCGGTATCGGAGAGACGCCGCTCAAGCACGCTTCCGACTCCGCCCACACACAGAATCTGACGACGCTGTGCGTGCGCGCTGACGCCGCTCGCGCGCGAAAGTGGACGACCAGAAGCAGTCCGCATCCAGACCTCCGGCGTTTCTGAAGTTTGGGGGCCTTCCCTCCAGGCCTCTCAGGTGGGGTCCGAGTAAATCGGGTCGGAGGGTCGCGCCGCATCAACGATGCATCGGCGATGTGGCACGATGCAGAGCTCGATTTTCTTTGTCCCGGCGTCGCCGATGCATCGCCGACGTCGCCGACGTCGCCGATGCATCGGCGATGTACCGGGTGTGGGGCGCGATCCGCCGACTCGCCACATTCTTCGCCGGAGCTCGATTCAATCTTCGCACGGACTCTTGTCATAGCGCAAACATCGCAGAGCGGAGTCCGTTCGGAAAACAATGGGATGGGCCCAGATTGTCCTGGAGAATTTTGCTCCGGATTTCGAAGTGACTTCCGTGCGGATTTGGTTTGGCCAGGAATGAAGACTCAAACAAATCCACGCGAAATTCATTTCGCTTTTCACTCTCCGGTTCGGGTTTCTGCATTTGCAGAAATATTAACCAAAACCCGCTGGATTACGTCTGCAGGGTCCGTGCAGTGACTCTTGTGGCCACGGCTCCGCGGCAGAAATCAACATAAATCAACAGGCGCCAATCGCAACACAACCGATCAAAGGGAACCTTGTTCCAGCCACCGAGGCTCGAGTGTTGGGCCGGCCCCCCGAGATGTCCGACGCCATGCTTTGTAGCAGATCCTGAAGCCGGGCCTGTCCCTCCACAGGAAAACATTTCAAAACAGTGAAACAAAATTGCCTGGGGACGATTTGTTGAATATGTTTTGATCGTTTTGGGGTATTTGTGGGGTGTTGGTTAACTTTTCGTGCAGAATCCCCCTGTAGGGGGACATGCCCGACCTGGGCAAAGCCGCGCGGCCCTTCCTCCGTTTGTCGGCCTCTGTGGCTCGTGCCCCGGGCCCCGGGATCACGGGGAGCGGGTCCGTGGCCCAAAGACCCTAGGCCCCTCAGAGGGGGTCCGAGTGGATGGGGTCGGAGGATCGCGCCACACCGCCGATGCATCGACGATGCGGCTCGGTGTGGAGCCCGTGGTTCCTCACGCCGACGTCGCCGATGCGGCGCGATCCTTCGACCCCATCTACTCGGACCCCATCTAGGAGGCCTCTAAAGAGGGGCCCTGGGCAGAGGATGTTCGGGACGGTGCACCCCGGGGCCGCGCATGGAACAAGCGCCGGGTGGACCCAGACAAGCCCAGAGATCCGACGCATTGAAAAATTCAAGACTGAGTTTTTTCGCGAAGCTCGGCCCCTGAGGGCCCTCGCCGGGCCTCGGGACCGTCAAAAAACGACTCAGGATGAAAAACCGGTCCTGGGGAATGGGTCGAGACTCCGGGGGACCCC